TTAGGGTCTACTGTAGGGGCCTAAATCATTACCTATACTATTCGCGGGGTTCCTTAGTATAATTATAGTATAATGGGTTTAGGGTTTAGGGTTTAGTATAGTTACAGTATATGTTTTAAGGCAGTATAATTACAGTATACTTATATTATAATGGGCCCCAAAACCCTATTCTAATTATTTAAGGCCCCTAGATTATCCCTAGCCATCTTTCGGATGGGTGACTGAGACTGCTTCGATAAAGCTGCTGCCAGGATGGTAATAGAGAGGCCTTAAGAACTACCTATACTATTTTGGGGGGGTTCCTTATTGTAGTGATAGTATAATATACCGTTTACCCCAAAACCCTATTCTAGTTTGTAAGACCCCTATATCGGAGTCGGCTATGAGCTTGGGCTCCATATGCCTCGCAAGTTGTGAAGCTCCGCACACCCGGTCTAGGGTTCAGGGGATTTAGGGTTTTAGGGTTTAGGGTTTAGGGTTTTACGGTTTAGGGTATCAGGGTTCAGGGGTGTAGGGTTTAGGAAGCGGGTTGAGGGTTTTAGCGAACCTGTTCGGGCATAGAGCACTGAACAAGAGGTCCGGGAAGGGAGGGCTCCACGGATTTGCCGATTTGGGTGCCTGATCGGATCCAGGGTTTTGAGGGCTTTCAGGCGGGTTTAGGGTTTAGGGGTCTTTATTGCCCGCATAGTGAGAAGACATTGACATAAGAGTCCCGTTTGGACAAAGCGACTGCGAGTTCATCAGGCGTTTTGGAGGTCCCGGAAGAGTAGAAAGCCGAAAGGGGAGAGAGTGATCCAAGGTCTGGCGGAAGTGGCCAGAAAGGCGTCGGCAAAGGTGGTTTCGGCCACTTTGAAGTTATATCAGCTGTTGACTTTGCCTGTTAGGAGGGTTTATAGATGATGTGCTCGTGTCAACATGTGCAGTCATCGCAACAACAACGTTGATACCAGTAGATGCAGCAAGGGGCATGCGAGTAGCAAGAATAGTTGCACTACGAATACCAACAGCCATAATCAATGTCATCGTAAAGTTAGTCATGATAGCAGGAAGAGCGACAGCGATCAGAGCCAAAGCGGTAGGGAGCAAGTTGCTGTTTTTTGTTTGATGATGAAGCGGGGAACCATGCGCGTCCAAGTTCAAGCTTTTGGGCTTAAGTTCCGGAGGAGGGGGAGGCTTCGGCAACAAGTGCTACTTTGAAGTGTGTTGGAGGGTTGAGGATGAGAGCGTGGAGGGTTGAAAACTTCATGCCGAGGCAAGTACAGTGGAGGCGGCGGAAAGGGCGGCCAGGGTGCCTTTAACCCATATGGCATGGGCGGCTCGGCGAATCGGGTTCCGAAGTTTGACATGACGACTCTGAGATTCCAGGGTTTAGGCTTTAGGGTTGTTTGGGGTTTCAGGTTGAGGAATGTAGAAGATGCTGACTGATTCTGCACCGCTACATAGTCCGGGTGTCATAGCCGGTGCCTTCGCTCCATGCCTCCAGTGCCGAAGTCACAGAGGGTCCGTTAAAGATCCCCTGAGTCGAAGTTGAAGCCTACACCAGAGCTGCTTATGTGGGTTCAGGGTTTCGTGGCCTGTTTGTTTGGTTAAGCCCAGTGTAGTGAAATGAAGCACGGCCTCGTAATGTCGTTTGGGAACAGGCGTACTTACAATATGGACAGAAAGAAAACTGTACATTTTGTTGTGTTGCATGTACATTCAGGAAGACAAATGGGCGCTGACGGAAGCCAGATAAGTGGATGCCGGTCTCACAGTTTGGACATTTCTACGCGAAAATCCAGACAAGCTCAACACCAGGATCTACTGGCAAGCGGATGAAACAAGACTATGAGCTTCCTTTCCCTGAGGTTTGGCAGGGAAGCATCCTTCACGGAACATTCGTGGATGAACAGTATTCTGAGGCCAAATGAACCCCATGGGCATGTACGGCATGGGCGGCGGCCACTTGACCTGAGCCAGCATGTCAGCGGTTTAGAGTTTAGGATGCAGGTTCACAATATCTGACCATGTCGATTTCATGACCTTGACGCGGTAAGCTTTAACCTCTGAGGTGTAGGGGTGGTAGGAGTACTTGCGTGATTCTTCAGCAGCATCTGAACAAGGCTCGAAATCCTGGAGGACAACCTCCGATCCCTGAAGCCTTGCACCCTGAGCCATTGAGATTTTTCAGGCATGGGTGGAATGGGTCCCATGGGCATGATGCCCATGGGAATGATGGGCATGCAAGGTATGGGCGGCACCTTGGCACAAGGTTTAGAGGTCTGGAGCTTAGGGCTTGGGGTTTAGGGTTTACGTCAAGGTTTAGGGTTTAAGGGTTCAGGTTGTAAGGGTTTAAGGGTTTAGGGTATAGGGCTTTAGGGTTGAAGCATTTAGACCGTTTAGGGTTTAGGGTAGAGTACTTGAGAATCCAAGCCCTTCAGGCCCTGAGCCAAACTCGAGTTGCCTGTTCTCTGTAGGCCAATGAACATCAGAGTAAAGTAGATGCCTTAATAGTTAGACTAGGGTTTTGGGGTATATTATGCTATAACTACAATAAGGAACCCCCAAGATAGCATTGGTAATTCTTTCGTTTCCTATAGTACTTTCCTCCATAAGGTGGGTGTTCATGTACGCAAAGACCTGTGAGCATATAAGCACAAATGCACATGGCCACATAGATCATAGATGTGCTGACCCATAGAATACCGCCCTTGACATGCGCACGATGCCATGCCGTTGCCGTGCAAAACAATACCCTACCCCACCGTGCTGTGAGGTACATACATAGATACATCTATGCATGCATCCCATCCATCCATCCATCCATCCTTCCTTCCATCCATGGTCCATGCATGCATTTACAGGTCCACCAATGCATGCCGGCATGTTTCATGCCATTCTGCCCTGTTTGTGGACACCTGCTGGATGGCCATGGGCACGGATGCCAACCCCAGAAGCCAGACAGTTAGTGCTTCTCACAGTGCCATCACCCTAAACCAGCCCGTTTCTGACATTCGGCACCCTGCGTTGATTCAGAGTTGATAAGTGCTCCTCCGAGCTGGGGACTTCTGAAGGGCATCCGACATGTTTCAGTTCTGACCCAGGTCATGTTGATGTAGTCGACTTCCATTCGGTAATCCAGTAGCATAAGGTAGGGGGACATTTGTATTTTTTGGTTTCTTTTTATGTCCTATACCATCAGGTTTTCAGTCAAAAGACACCCCTCGGAGCCTTTCTGCCTAGGTGCAGACCCCACGCAGCAGTATGGCGGCCAGCAGCAGTGTATGGGCGGCGGCATGCAGGGGGGCATGGGCGGAATGTATTGATCTTGCGTAAAACGCCTTCGCATGCCGTCCTGTTCCACCACATCACAAATCCTAGCCAGGACGCCCTGAAACTCAGACCCTGA